CGGAGCTGCGGGTGCGCGCGCTGACCGGCGTGTCCTAGGGCTCCGGCTTGACAGGGCGGAGGCAGGGAGAGCCCGACGAGCAGCCGAACGAGGAGGAGGACGCGCCGAGCCGCTCCATACGCCTCGGCGTCCAGGAGCTCCCACTGCGGCGTGAGAAGGTCGGGGGAGCGGGGTACTCGAGGCGCGGCGTGTTGCCGCCCTCGATGTACTCGAAGACGGCCTCCAGCGTGCGGCCGGGTACGCCCCACCACCGGCGCCGGCCCTCGGAGTTCAGCCTGCCGGAGGGCACGACGCCGTTCGTCGCCTCGAGCTGCTCGGCGTGTCGGCGGTGGAAATAGGGCTCCCAGAGCGGGCTGTCGGGGGTGTACCGCGGGCCTTCCGTCGCCGCCCGCGGCAGGGACGCGCGGATGCGTGCGATCTCCGCACGCCGCGCCGCCCCGGTGGGTGGTGGTGGCACCGGCACGCCGCCGGCGCTGATCCTCCACGCCCCGGGCACCCGCATGTCCGGCGGGGCCGGGTACTCGACCTCAAAGAGGAGGCGAGCCTCGTCCTCGTGCAGATGGCAGCGCCCGAAACCATTCGCCGCCGCGCCGTCGCCTGGAAAGCGCTCGGCCATCCTTCTGAGCTGGAAACGGCGAGAGGAGGAAGGGGGAGAAGTGGGCGCGTCGGTGGTGTAGTGTGTGTGCGTATCTCTGGCGCACTGGTTCTCGGCTTATATAGGCGGAGGCGCCACGCGGTAGGCTTGGCCGGCGCATTACGCGTGGCGGGAGGCATGGCGGGCGAGGGGACGCGCGTCGCTCGGACTTCACTGCGCCGCCCGTGAGGCATCAATGGAGGCTGACCGGCGCGACAACGCGCGCAACTTTGGCATTGATTCGCCGCGGGAAACGAGGCGATGAGGACGACGAAGCGGCGAGAAGAGTGTCGAGTCGCTGACGCGGCTGGCCCACGGTGCTTTCGCGCCAAAAAATATTCGCCCGGCGCTCCCGAGCGCCCCCAGCACACCGGGTTCGGGCTGGGTCCGCCGACGCCAATTTCGGCCGGAGCCGG